AGCCGCTAACTACGTCCTCTATCACTTTAAACTAAACCCTGAGGCCGTCACCGTATGTACCAACCTGTTGGTGCACTAGGTTGATATCATCAAAACCGATGGTTAGACGCTTACTTACATTGAAATCATAGGCAATTCAGAGTTTATCCTAATATCCAAGGCAACCATCGTGAAGACCTATGAGTTACTCAAAGTTCACCGAACCTAAGTTCCCCTGCAACCGATAGTATCATTAATATGTGCACCAAACTACAAAATCTCTAAGTCAACCCTATCCGTCAACCCCATCAACTGACGAAGGATTGTGAAACTTCGATTGAGAACGTTATGGTTTTTTTACGGAAACGTAGGGGAAGCACAGTCTCGGATGATGAGATAATGCTCTCCTTCTACGTCTTTTCCCTGTAGTAAGGCAATTTGGAATTTATATTTGTAAGAGCCATGCAGGCACTATCCATAGAAACTTAATTTCGTAAAAAATATTGACGATGTGCGCAGATTAAATATACAAACTTGTAGTAACGACAGTATAAATTGTCCCTTTAGGGCAATATTTGGCGATTGTTTGCAATTAATAGCGAATTCAAAAGAGGCAGTTAAAAAACTCCCACGATAAAAATGGAGACAAAGTTAAAACGTGCCCTTAATTTTAAAAAGCGTGCAGGTGATATAAATCTGCTTATGTACTTAGGATAGATGTGTAGAGGAGGCAAATACTACAATAGCCGGACCGAATGGGATAATGAAATGTGGGTTGAGTTCCTCGTGGTTGCTAGTGCTTATTACATAAAAAATCTCAGGAAGAAGCATCAGTTAACGTAGGGTCCTCACATTTCAGAAGCCAAGCTAGAATTCTACTGATGAATCGTAGCCTACGAAACGGGAGAATTTTAGACTAAGGACGTCCACAGCTTGAATGACCGGTAGTTAATGGAGACATAAAGGTTCCCGAGGGACACGAGGCAGAAAAAAATAGTTTCAAGAGGGTTTTCTAAAATTCCGATGGGACTTCCTCGGAGTCCTGGAGAAAGCTTTTCGGAAAAGATGAGGAGACCAAGAAGTTAATAGAATCTGTGTTATGGTAAATGTGCGGTCTTCACTTGAAAGCAGATACACTAGTTGCCGACCTATATTCAATCGGTAAGTTATTCCAAATAAAGCTACACCTGGAAGCAAAGAGCGACGAGCGTTTAAATTAGGAGGATTCAGAAGGAAGTATAACAAGGGCGGAATTATACAGGTTGTAAGAATAGCTCACGGGGTAATGACAAAAAGCTTGGACGTTTTTTACTATTATCAAAGCCAAAAATTTGACAAAACCTAATTCTAATCTCCTGACTTAAACGAAATCTCAGTTACGTTAACTGGCGTCAATTTGATTAGGAAAAATTTGGAAATGTCAGATATAACAGTTTTTTGTGAATCGTCTTTGGACATTCACAATTTTGGAACTGATATTTTCGTTGATCAGACCTAAGAATGGGCAAAAGTTTTCTCGAATGGGAAGCACGAAAATACGGTTAGTTCTTAATTTCACTTAAGGAAGGTAGAAATTATAAGAAATAAAGCAGCAGCTTTGGCCGTAGTCCCATTGGCCTGAGGCAAGATATCTGATTTATTGGTGTAGCTTAAACCTAAGTCCTTGACGTTAGAACATTCAGCCATTGGGAAACATTGAAAAGCAACACGTTTTGGCAGTCATCTAGAACTCAAATACGTGTATAGGCACTTAGAAGGTAAGAACTCTATCTGACATGTGGATGTCCAGGCAGAAAGAGCGTGCAAATCCGAATGAATATGTTCTAAGATTCGCAGGGCCGTACAGTTAAAGTAGGAGTTAACACACTTAAGATTATTCGCAAAAATATAAATTGTATTGGCAAGATTGAAAATAATTAACTCTGAATGAAAGATCATTTATGTAAATCAAGAACAAAAGAGGACCCTACAAACACCAGCCCCTTCAATACCCCCTCCATGCCCCGCTGGGCACGAGAGGGATTTGGCGGGGATAGATGAGGCACAGGCGGGGCATTTGTGGGGAAATCCACTCATATGGCTCCCTC